CAGACTATAGTCTAGTCTATAGATCAGACTATAGTCTAGTCTATAGATCAGACTATAGTCTAGTCTATAGATCAGACTATAGTCTAGTCTATAGATCAGACTATAGCCTAGTCTATAGATCAGATTATAGTCTTGTCTATAGTCTAGTCTATAGATCAGATTATAGTTCAGTCTATAGATCAGACTAGTCTATAGATCTGACTAGTCTATAGATCAGACAATAGTCTAGTCTATTCATCAGACTAGTCTATAGATCAGACTATAGTCTAGTCTATGGATCAGACTATAGTCTAGTCTATAGATCAGACTATAGTCTAGTCTATAGATCAGACTAGTCTAGTCTAGATCAGACTATAGTCTAGTCTATAGATCAGACTATAGTCTAGTCTATAGATCAGACTATAGTCTAGTCTATAGATCAGACTATAGTCTAGTCTATAGATCAGACTATAGTATAGTCTATAGATCAGACTATAGACTAGTCTATAGATCAGACTATAGTCTAGTCTATAGATCAGACTATAGACTAGTCTATAGATCAGACTATAGTCTAGTCTATAGATCAGACTATAGTCTAGTCTATAGATCAGACTATAGTCTAGTCTATAGATCAGACTATAGTCTAGTCTATAGATTAGACTATAGTCTGGTCTATAGATCAGACTATAGTCTGATCTATAGACCTGTGGTGATCAGACTATAGTCTAGTGTATAGATCAGATTATAGTCTAATCTATAGATCAGACTATAGTCTAGTCTATAGATCAGACTATAGCCTAGTCCATAGATCAGACTATAGCCTAGTCTATAGATCAGACTATAGCCTAGTCTATAGATCAGACTATAGCCTAGTCTATAGATCAGACTATAGCCTAGTCTATAGATCAGACTATAGTCTAGTCTATAGATCAGACTGTAGTCTAGTCTATAGATCAGACTGTAGTCTAGTCGATAGATCAGATTATAATCTAGTCTATAGATCAGACTATAGTTTAATCTTTAGATCAGACTATAGTCTAGTCTATAGATCAGACTATAGTCTAGTCTATGAATCAGTCTAGCCTATAGATCGGTCAATATATTAGCATATATTCTAATCTATAGATCGATCAGTCGAAAGTCTGTAGTTTTCTCTTTTTCCTATTGGCCCTATTTGCGGAATTCCATTTTTAATAATATCATTGTTTTTAAGCGTCATTTACTATTCATTTAATATGACGTCTGTGGTGTCATTTTAAATCTACTTTAAATTCACAGCTAAAGTTAGTGGTTGGAAATAAAAAATATCTATTAAATGTGTTTTAAACTCTGTATTTAAATAAATTTTCCGCCAGCGGAAAATGTATGTAAAAACCTATGGTTTCATTATATTTATATGTTTAGCATTTTGTAAAGTATCTGTATGTAAATATGATTAAAAAAATTTAAATAAAACAGCAACAAAAATAACCTTATTGTTCTAAAGCAGGTGTTGTTCTTTACAAAAAAAAAAGGTTGCTGAACAAATAATATAAAGAGGGCTCTCGAAACAAATATAAAATAAAAATTGTAAATAATTTAATATTAAACATAAACGTGGTTATTTAATTAAAAAAAATCCTGATGTTTATCTTTTTTGTTATTTTATTAAACAAATAAAAGTATACTTTAGATTTGTTCTAGTATGCCAGCCTTAAGGTATGCTTTAAACGTAACAAACTTAAAGTAGACTTTACTATAATGTCTACTAGCTCTCTGGTAGTGTTTAAAATTTGCTTTTGTGTATGAATGTGGGTGTTTTCTAAGTTAAATAAAAATTGTATTTGTTTAAAATTTTTGTTTAGTTATTAGTTCATTGTCTTTTTAAATATTTTATATTAAATTGATTAGTTTTCTGTGGCGTATGTGTGTGTATTTTATATATATATATTATACAAAAAAAAAAAACATTTTAAAATTTATAATTTTTTGTAAATTTCTTTTTGTTGTTAAAAAAATTTTCTAGCATCTGGAGTGTGTGGATAGTATCGCTGGACTTGGTTCTGCTGTTTAATATACATATTTTTATATATATTCCTGGTGTTTTATAAGTTTTGTGTTCCATTTTTGTTTGTTGTTGGTTTTAGCTTATGTTTGGCACTGTTTTTTATGGGTTAATTTTTTTTTGGCATATTTTACTTAGAATTAAGTATATATTTTTTTAATATAAAATGTAAATTTCTGAATGTTTTTATTAAATAAAATAATAATGATGAGGGCATGCTGTAGCTTAAGAGTGTCAATGGATTATAAAAAGAGAAAAATTAAAAAAAAAAACTTTGGATTATAGTTCAGACTAAAGAGTGGTCTAAAGTTCAGACTATATACTGGTCTATAGATAAGACTATAGACTGGTCTATAGATCAGACTATAGACTGGTCTATAGTTAGACTATAGACTGGTCCATAGTTAGACTATAGACTGGTCCATAGTTAGACTATAGACTGGTCTTTAGTTAAACTATAGACTGGTCTATACTTAGACTATAAACTGGTCTAAAGTTAGACTATAAACTGGTCTAAAGTTAGACTATAGACTGGTCTATAGTGTAGATTATAGACCGGTCTATAGTGTAGACTATAGACTGGTCTATAGTGTAGACAATAGACTGGTCTATAGTGTAGACAATAGACTGGTCTATAGTGTAGACTATAGACTGGTATATAGTGTAGACTATAGACTGGTCTATAGTGTAGACTATAGACTGGTCTATAGTGTAGACTATAGACTGGTCTATAATGTAGACTATAGACTGGTCTATAGTGTAGACTATAGACTGGTCTATAGTGTAGACTATAGACTGGTCTATAGTGTAGACTATAGACTGGTCTATAGTGTAGACTATAGACTGGTCTATAGTGTAGACTATAGACTGGTCTATAGTGTAAACTATAGACTGGTCTATAGTGTAGAATATAGACTGGTCTATAGTGTAGACTATAGACTGGTCTATAGTGTAGACTATAGACTGGTCTATAGTGTAGACTATAGACTGGTATATAGTGTATAGACTCGTCTATACTTTAGACTATAGACTTGTCTATACTTTACACTATAGACTGGTCTATAGTTTAGACTATAGACTGGTCTATTGTTTAGACTATAGAAGGCTCTATTGTTGAGACTATGGTCTATAGTTTATACTATAGAATTTTTTACAGTTTAGACTATAGACTGGTCTATAGTTTAGACTATAGATTGGTCTATAGTTTAGACTATAGACTGGGTATAGTTTAGACTATAGACTGGTCTATAGTTTAGACTATAGACTTGTGTATAGTTTAGACTATAGACTGGTCTATAGTGTAGACTATAGAGTGGTCTATAGTGTAGACTATAGACTGGTCTATAGTGTATAATATAGACTGGTCTATAGTGTAGACTATAGACTGGTCTATAGTGTAGACTATAGACTGGTCTATAGTGTAGACTATAGACTGGTCTATAGTGTAGACTATAGACTGGTCTATAGTGTAGACTATAGACTGGTCTATAGTGTAGACTATAGACTGGTCTATAGTGTAGACTATAGACTGGTCTATAGTGTAGACTATAGACTGGTCTATAGTGTAGACTATAGACTGGTATGTAGTGTAGACTATAGACTGGTATGTAGTGTATAGACTCGTCTATAGTTTAGACTATAGACTCGTCTATAGTTTAGACTATAGGCTTGTCTATACTTTACACTATAGACTGGTATATAGTTTAGACTATAGACTGGTCTATAGTTTAGACTATAGACTGGTCTATTGTTTAGACTATAGAAGGCTCTATTGTTGAGACTATGGTCTATAGTTTAAACTATAGAATGGTTTACAGTTTAGACTATAGACTGGTCTATAGTTTAGACTATAGATTGGTTTATAGTTTAGACTATAGACAGGTCTATAGTTTAGACTATAGACTTGTGTATAGTTTAGACTATAGACTTGTGTATAGTTTAGACTATAGACTGGTCTATAGTTTAGACTATAGACTGCTCTATAGTTTAGACTATAGACTGGGTATAGTTTAGACTATAGACTGGTCTATAGTTTAGACTATAGACTTGTGTATAGTTTAGACTATAGACTGGTCTATAGTGTAGACTATAGACTGGTCTATAGTGTAGACTATAGACTGGTCTATAGTGTATAATATAGACTGGTCTATAGTGTAGACTATAGAGTGGTCTATAGTGTAGACTATAGACTGGTCTATAGTGTAGACTATAGACTGGTCTATAGTGTAGACTATAGACTGGTATGTAGTGTATAGACTCGTCTATAGTTTAGACTATAGACTCGTCTATAGTTTAGACTATAGGCTTGTCTATACTTTACACTATAGACTGGTATATAGTTTAGACTATAGACTGGTCTATAGTTTAGACTATAGACTGGTCTATTGTTTAGACTATAGAAGGCTCTATTGTTGAGACTATGGTCTATAGTTTAAACTATAGAATGGTTTACAGTTTAGACTATAGACTGGTCTATAGTTTAGACTATAGATTGGTTTATAGTTTAGACTATAGACAGGTCTATAGTTTAGACTATAGACTTGTGTATAGTTTATACTATAGACTTGTGTATAGTTTAGACTATAGACTGGTCTATAGTTTAGACTATAGACTGCTCTATAGTTTAGGCAATATATGGCCTATAGTTCAGACTACATACTGGTCTATAGTTTAGACTATGGTCTATAGTATATAATATAGACTGGTCTATAGTTTAGACTATAAACTGGTCTATAGTTTAGACTATAGACTCGTCTATAGTTTAGACTACAGACTTGTCTATACTTTAGACTATAGACTGGTCTATAGTTTAGATTATAGACTGTTCTATAGATTAGACTGTAGACCGGTTTATAGTTCAGACTATAGACTGGTCTACAGTTTAGACTATAGACTGGTCTATAGTTTTTACTATTGACCGGTCTATAGTTCACTATAGTTTACACTAGTCAATAGTTTAGACTACAGACTGGTCTATATTTCAGACTATAGTCTGATCTGGTCTATAGTTTACAGCAAAAATGGCATTTAATCAAATTTTCTCTTTTTTTTACTAATAAAAATCATACGAAAGTGTAAAAATTTATGAAAAAGAGTAGTTTCTGAATTTATTGAGAATTAGTTTGTTTTATATTTGATAAAAGTTTTTCTTTGGAAAAGTGCAATAAATCATAAATTTAAAAAATAATAATAAAAACTACAGATAAAAACTAATAAAAACGTTAAAACTCAAACTCACCTGTAGTCAAAGTATAATCCCAGCTGGTTTCTGGTTCATTTTTATAAACATTCAATTTCTCCGGCTAAAAAAATAAAAATAAAAAAATAATAAAATATGATAATGATTTCAAAATTCCCCCCTACAAGAATAAAATCTTAATTTTCTTAACCCACCTTAGCATAATCAATTTTCAATGTGCAGCAACCCGAATATATATCAGCACCATTTAAATTTTCTCTAGCTCTTGTGGCCGATTCTAAACAATCAAATTCCACCATAGCTTGGACACCGTTCTTTTTGAATATAACAATACGCAAGACCTGGCCATGTGGATTACATATTTTGTGTAGAACATCCTGCAAAGACAAAACAAACATAACAATAGAAAATTAATTTTTTTATTTAAATAAAAAATATAATAATATATTTAATTATAACCACAATAATATATGGTTATTTTTTTTTTTTTTAATTTTATTGCATGACGTTTGTATAAATTGTTGTGGTAAGAAACAAATCATTTAGAGTTTTATAATATTTATCTTTTTTTTTTTTTTTAACAATATTGACACCGACCATTTGGATTTTATATATTTTTTGGTTTTGTTGGTTTTTTATTATAGGCGACCAATTAGAAAAAACAAAAAAAATATTTAGAGCGTAAAATTAAAAAAACACATTTTTTTTGTATAAATAAAAGAGAAATTAGTAAAACGAAGATTTTTAATTCAATTTTAAAAGACTAAAAATATATATCTAGGTTATAAAATCGATTATAATCTGGACTATATATAGTCCCGACTATATATTGTCTGGACTATAGCCTAGTCCCGTCTATAGTATATTCCAGTCCAGTCTAGTCTATAGTCTAGTCTATTGTCTAGTCTATTGTCTAGTCTATAGTCTAGTCTATAGTCTAGTCTATAGTCTAGTCTATAGTCTAGTCTATAGTCTAGTCTATAGTCTAGTCTATAGTCTAGTCTATAGTCTAGTCTATAGTCTAGTCTATAGTCTAGTCTATAGTCTAGTCTATAGTCTAGTCTATAGTCTAGTCTATAGTCTAGTCTATAGTCTAGTCTATTGTCTAGTCTATAGTAGTCTATAGTATAGTCTATAGTCTAGTCTATAGTCTAGTCTATAGTCTAGTCTATAGTCTAGTCTATAGTCTAGTCTATAGTCTAGTCTATAGTCTAGTCTATAGTCTAGTCTATAGTCTAGTCTATAGTCTAGTCTATAGTCTAGTCTATAGTCTAGTCTATAGTCTAGTCTATAGTCTAGTCTATAGTCTAGTCTATAGTCTAGTCTATAGTCTAGTCTATAGTCTAGTCTATAGTCTAGTCTATAGTCTAGTCTATAGTCTAGTCTATAGTCTAGTCTATAGTCTAGTCTATAGTCTAGTCTATAGTCGTCTATAGTCTAGTCTATAGTCTAGTCTATCGTCTAGTCTATAGTCTAGTCTATAGTCTAGTCTATAGTCTAGTCTATAGTCTAGTCTATAGTCTAGTCTATAGTCTAGTCTATAGTCTAGTCTATAGTCTAGTCTATAGTCTAGTCTATAGTCTAGTCTATAGTCTAGTCTATAGTCTAGTCTATAGTCTAGTCTATAGTCTAGTCTATAGTCTAGTCTATAGTCTAGTCTATAGTCTAGTCTATAGTCTAGTCTATAGTCTAGTCTATAGTCTAGTCTATAGTCTAGTCTATAGTCTAGTCTATAGTAGTCTATAGTCTAGTCTATAGTCTAGTCTATAGTCTAGTCTATAGTCTAGTCTATAGTCTAGTCTATAGTCTAGTCTATAGTCTAGTCTATAGTCTAGTCTATAGTCTAGTCTATAGTCTAGTCTATAGTCTAGTCTATAGTCTAGTCTATAGTCTAGTCTATAGTCTAGTCTATAGTCTAGTCTATAGTCTAGTCTATAGTCTAGTCTATAGTCTAGTCTATAGTCTAGTCTATAGTCTAGTCTATAGTCTAGTCTATAGTCTAGTCTATAGTCTAGTCTATCGTCTAGTCTATAGTCTAGTCTATCGCCAAGTCTATAGTCTAGTCTATCGTCTAGTCTATCGTCTAGTCTATAGTCTAGTCTATAGTCTAGTCTATAGTCTAGTCTATAGTCTAGTCTATAGTCTAGTCTATAGTCTAGTCTATAGTCTAGTCTATAGTCTAGTCTATAGTCTAGTCTATAGTCTAGTCTAGTCTAGTCTATAGTCTAGTCTATAGTCTAGTCTATAGTCTAGTCTATAGTCTAGTCTATAGTCTAGTCTATAGTCTAGTCTATCGTCTAGTCTATAGTCTAGTCTATCGTCTAGTCTATCGTCTAGTCTATAGTATAGTCTATAGTCTAGTCTATAGTCTAGTCTATAGTCTAGTCTATAGTCTAGTCTATAGTCTAGTCTATAGTATAGTCTATAGTCTAGTCTATAGTCTAGTCTATAGTCTAGTCTAGTCTAGTCTATATTCTAGTCTATAGTCTAGTCTATAGTCTAGTCTATAGTCTAGTCTATAGTCTAGTCTATAGTCTAGTCTATAGTCTAGTCTATAGTCTAGTCTATAGTCTAGTCTATAGTCTAGTCTATAGTCTAGTCTATAGTCTAGTCTATAGTCTAGTCTATAGTCCTAGTCTATAGTCCAGTCTATAGTCTAGTCTATAGTCTAGTCTAGTCTAGTCTAGTCTATAGTCTAGTCTACAGTCTAGTCTAGTCCATAGTCTAGTCTACACTATTCTAGTCTATAGTCTAGTCTACAGTCTAGACTTTAGTCTAGTCTTTAGTCTAGTCTTTAGTCTAGTCTAGAGTCTAGTCTATAGTCTAGTCTATAGTCTAGTCTATAGTCTAGTCTATAGTCTAGTCTATAGTCTAGTCTATAGTCTAGTCTATAGTCTAGTCTATAGTATAGTCTATAGTCTAGTCTATAGTCTAGTCTATAGTCTAGTCTATAGTCTAGTCTATAGTCTAGTCTATAGTCTAGTCTATAGTCTAGTCTATAGTCTAGTCTATAGTCTAGTCTATAGTCTAGTCTATAGTCTAGTCTTTAGTCTAGACTATAGTCTATAGTCTAGTCTATAGTATAGTCTTTAGTCTAGTCTATAGTCTAGTCTATAGTCTAGTCTATAGTCTAGTCTATAGTCTAGTCTATAGTGTAGTCTATAGCCTAGTCTATAGCCTAGTCTATAGCCTAGTCTATAGTCTAGTCTATAGTCTAGTCTATAGTCTAGTCTATAGTCTAGTCTATAGTCTAGTCTATCGTCTAGTCTATAGTCTAGTCTATCGCCAAGTCTATAGTCTAGTCTATCGTCTAGTCTATCGTCTAGTCTATAGTCTAGTCTATAGTCTAGTCTATAGTCTAGTCTTTAGTCTAGACTATAGTCTATAGTCTAGTCTATAGTATAGTCTTTAGTCTAGTCTATAGTCTAGTCTATAGTCTAGTCTATAGTCTAGTCTATAGTCTAGTCTATAGTGTAGTCTATAGCCTAGTCTATAGCCTAGTCTATAGCCTAGTCTATAGTCTAGTCTGTATAATCAATTCTGTAGTCTACTCCGTAGTCTACAATCGAGATAATTAGATCTTATCATTCCTCATATTAAAATTTTTCTTTTTCCACTTCAAAATTTGCTTCATCTTCTAAAGCTTGTTGATCCTTAAATTCCCTTCCATTCCATGACATCTTTTAAACGCCTTTTCTAACTCTTATACCACAAATTTAACCCTAATCTCCATATCCAACCATACATAGAGATTACATACGAAAACATATGCTATCTAGGCTATTAGTGTGACCATATTCATTGGGTCCCAGCATAAACAATAATTAAAGAAACAGTAAAATTTGCAAATATTGACAATCAACCAGTCAGCCTGATATGTAACCCAACTAACCAGCAACCCATACAGTTGGGGCTTAAGCGTTCATTACTATTTAACAACATTGAGTACGTTTCTCCATTTTAATGCCTGTAAATTTTAAATTAGAAACTGACTCGTGTTGTTTAGTTGGATGTGTGAAAAATCTAAACAATTTAAGAGGTATTTTCCATTTGTGTATGATAACACTGCTGCGTATGCTAATGAAAACGGGGCCATAATGCTGATAAATACGGTATTTTATGGAATATTTACAAAACATGATGGGCACAGAGAACGAGAGAGTGAGATAGAGTGACGTTTAGAACAGCTTTTTACAACAGTTAATTGATGTAATGACAGGATACTAGGATTATAATGTTTAGGGAACAATTGTGGTGTTTTTGTTTTTCGTTATAGATAGCAAAAAGAGTGTAAAATATAAATATGAACTTTAAACGTAGAAAAAGGGAACATTCTTTAAAAAAAAAATAATACTTGAATTTGCGAATAGCCCAGTCTCCAGTCTATTCTATAAAGTCTAGTCTATAGTTATTCTATAGACAAGTCTAGTCTAAGTCTACTCTAGACAATGTCTAGTCTATAGTCTAGTCTATAGTCTAGTCTATAGTCTACTCTATAGACAACTGTCTAGTCTAAGCTAGTCTATACTCATAGACAACGTCTGTCTAATTAGTTCATAGTCTATCAGTCTCGTCTAAGTCTATTCTATAGACTACTAGTCTATAGTCTATTCTATATACAAGTCTAGTCTATAGTCTAGTCTATGAGCTATAAGTCTAGTCATCAGTCTAGTCTATAGTCTAGTCTATAGTCTAGTCTATAGTCTAGCTAAGTCTGTCTAGTCTATAAGTCTAAGTCTATAGTCTAGTCTAGTCAGTCTAGTCTATAGTCTAGTCTATAGTCTAGTCTATAGTCTAGTCTATAGTCTAGTCTATAGTCTAGTCTATAGTCTAGTCTATAGTCTAGTCTATAGTCTAGTCTATAGTCTAGTCTATAGTCTAGTCTATAGTCTAGTCTATAGTCTAGTCTATAGTCTAGTCTATAGTCTAGTCTATAGTCTAGTCTATAGTCTAGTCTATAGTCTAGTCTATAGTCTAGTCTATAGTCTAGTCTATAGTCTAGTCTATAGTCTAGTCTATAGTCTAGTCTATAGTCTAGTCTATAGTCTAGTCTATAGTCTAGTCTATAGTCTAGTCTATAGTCTAGTCTATAGTCTAGTCTATAGTCTAGTCTATAGTCTAGTCTATAGTCTAGTCTATAGTCTAGTCTATAGTCTAGTCTATAGTCTAGTCTATAGTCTAGTCTAGTCTAGTCTATAGTCTAGCTATAGTCTAGTCTATAGTCTAGTCTAGTCTGTCTATAGTCTAGTCTAGTCTAGTGTATAGTCTAGTCTATAGTCTAGTCTATAGTCTAATCTATAGTCTAGTCTATAGTCTATAGTCTAGTCTATAGTCTAGTCTATAGTCTAGTCTATAGTCTAGTCTATAGTCTAGTCTA